AAGGAAGTGTGGGTGCTTATATATTGGTTTCATAGTAGGGCTGAGTACATTGGATACTTTTTCTTCCATTCTTGAGATACTTGGCTAAGAAGAATATGTTCCATCTCCATCCATGTAAACATAAAAGAAGTAAAGTCTCCATCTTTTTTAAGGCTGCCTAATATTCCAGGGTGTGCATATACCACAATTTATCAATCCATTCATGGGTCGATGGGCGCTTCCATGACTTCGCAATTATGAATTGGGCTGCAGTAAACATTTTGATACAAATATCTTTGTTATAAAGTGATTTTTGGTCTTCTGGATACATACCTAGTAGAGGAATTGCGGGATCAAATGGCAGTACCATGTTTTAGTGTTGCTTTCCAAGTAATAGGTTTCTCTAGGTTATGGACTATCTTAATATTGGGGCTGCTGTAATAAAATGCCACAAACTGTGTAGCTTATAAGCAACAGACATTTATTTCTTGCGGTTCCGAAGGTGGAGGAGACCGAGATCAAAGTAGTGGAGCCCTCATGATCTAATCACTCCCAGAGGCCCCACTTTCTAATGCCATGGGGGTGGGGTTAGGAGAGAAGATGTGAACACATAGGTTGGGGACCAACACTGATCATGGCATAGACTAACACCTCCCCCTAATCAACCTACAGAAAAATTACCTAGTCCAACACCCAAAGTCAGTTCACTGTACCTTAATATCTATACATATCTTAGTGAGCTTCTAGAATTAAATATGTAGTAAACTACTTTAAAACTGTGTTGAGAAGTGGGCAGGAAAAGACTGCCTGTGAGCTGTAGCCAGAGACGTGGAGTGCAGGTTGATTCAACACACAGCTGTTGCGCGCCTTCTCTGTGCCAAGAATTGTGGAAGGTGCTGGCAGAACAGAGAGTAAACTTTGGCCTCCACTCTGGAGCAGGAAGCCTAGTGCATTGTGGTGGAAGGAGAGGGGACAGGTGTACCAGGGTTTCCTTTCACTTCTTCCTCCTCAGAGCACCTGACCCACTCACAGCCTTGGGCAGTGTTTTTCAGCCTTTGTTATCTCACAGCATACTTGAACCTATAGTTAAACTTCCATACACACTTAAATTATGTTGATGATAAAAAAGAGTAAAAAAAGGAATATATTCACTGTGCTTTGAACTTCTTTTGAAAATAATTTAATTAATACTCTTGAATAATTTTTATGGCACACCTAAGACCCTCTCACAGCAGTACCCAGAGGGAAAATCACTTCTCTGCACACTTGGCAGTGACTTTCCCACGAGTATTGCTCTGCTACAGCCCAGACGTGCTGGTCATGCGCCTACCTGTTTGTGGAATAGAGTTCATATTCCAGGCGTCTAGGATGTTTTCATCGTAGTTATTTCTAACAAGTCCTAGTGCATACAAGTGATTAGTTTTTACATTTACTTTCCTCATGGCCTTGTATTTGGTCAGTTACGACAAGCACTTTATGAGACTTATTTCAGGAGCTTCCAATTTGGAGTGGTTTAAGGTGGACTTGCAGTTCTTGATGTTCTTATTATGAGGAATGAATGTTTCGGTCGTTTCTTTGGGAATCTTACAGTTACCACTGTTGAGGGACTGCACCAGCAAGCAAACTCTGAGGCCATACCTGGCCAAGGTGTGCCCAGCTAGCTGGCCTCTGGGGAGCAGGGACTTCACCAGCTCACAGGGCAGATGGGGGCCGTGGAAGGTTGGTGGCATGCACTCCTTCTGGCCTGGTCACTGTCACGCACAGCAGAGGAGGAGTGTTCTGAGACAGCTGGCCCAACCGTGAATGTATTTCAGAGGATTTGGGAGCAGTAAGGGATGCTGCTGCCTGCTGTCTGGATGACTGATCAGAACAAGAGACGTATTGAGTCCACACATCATTGAACTTGGCATCTCATATCTTAGGTTATCTTAGCCAGTCTGGTTCATGAAGAAAAATTACCTCCAAGAAGCATTTATTTTCATGGCTTGACGTTAAGTATTTGGTTATATACTTGGTAAAGTTTATCATTTTTTTCACAATGAACTTGAGCGTTCTTGTTGTAGGAAATGAGTTTCTAAGAAGAGAACTATAAAAAGTGTGTGCCATTTTACCTGTAGGAAAGAAAGAGGCCCATCTTTTTATTTGGGGGAAAAGAACTTTTTTTTTAAACTTAATGCCATATTGACTTAATCAGTAATACGGTGCAGCGATGTGAAACTTTCCCGTCTGGGGGATTACACTCTTACCGCGAGGCCTTTAGGAGTCCTGCTGCTCATCTATTCTCTCCATGTTTCCTTATCCGTCTGTTGTGGGTTTTGGTTGATAATCGGGACCACGCAGTCATGTGTACTCAACGGTTTCTTCCTTGTCCCGTGTGCCTTTTATCTCATGGAGTAAGTCTTCACTGCTCCATTGTTTCATTTCCATGATTATTTTGTTTTCTCCTGCATAGTTGTTTTTTTTTTTTTTTCACGTAGCAAAACTTGGCTGAGCTCAAATTACATTGCAGTGGAGTGGGAGGGAATCAATCCACTCATTCTTCCTTAAACTTATGCTGACTTCATGGGATTCTTTTAAGGGGCCGTTCCCAGAAATTTTATATTTCATTTGCTT